GTATCCATATAGAAAGAGTCTACCTTTGGATTTACAGTGGTCTTGATGTATATCAGTTAGCTATGTGCTTATAATGCAGCAAATACATTCCCAAATTTAAGCAGATGATTCATAATGTATATCCTGTCTAGTTTAACCCTGACTCAGTCAGTACATATTAGCAATCCTGAGTTGAAATTTAGGAGACGATCAGTTAGCTATGTGCTTATAATGCAGCAAATACATTCCCAAATTTAAGCAGATGATTCATAATGTATATCCTGTCTAGTTTAACCCTGACTCAGTCAGTACATATTAGCAATCCTGAGTTGAAATTTAGGAGACTGGTGGAAGCAGAGACAAAGTGCTTGGAAAAGGTCATGTGTATTTAATACTTCAAGAAATGACAGCCCTAGGCCTCCATGGATTGGGCATGGAGCATGATAAAACATGCATCATGCCATCACAATGCAAACCCTGCATCCAGTGTTGGGACATAAGTATGTAAGCATGGGGTTTGTGTCATGACATCACTGCCCTGATAATTATTAATTAATGTGTTTTGCTGTTGTTTCCTCTGAAGACAGCCAAACTATTTGGATAGGAGAGATCAGAATTCTCAAAATGTCCTAGATTCCCAGAATGTCCAGCTGACATAATCAGTGACTAAGGAAGCTGTAGCTCTGCACATTTGGAGAGGGGAAAGTATCACAGAAAGTCAGCGTGACTATCTGAATGGGAAATTCTAGGAAAAGTTTTTCTTGGGTACAAATTTTGTCCTTGGAATTCAGAAAGATAAAATTAAATCAATGTAATATCTGTAAGAGAAATGTCTACTGTATTCAACAGATGAGTTCTAGCTGAAGATTTATTTCAAGAGTAATTATAGATTTAAGAAGTGGTTTGATCTGAAGTTATATTATAGCTAAGCACATTGTGTAGTTTATAAAAGACTGACAAAGCTGAAAATTATCTGTCAATCAGCAATTGATTTCAGCAGCATAAAAATAATTTCCAGAGAGGAAGTTGAGGTCAATATGTTTTCTTTTTCTGTATGGATCAATCAACTTTTATTTTTAGATCACTGTTCTTCCATTTATGTTCTTACATACATTATTTTAACCCTGCATGCTTTGTATTATTTTTATCTTGCATCATTTGTATTATTTTTACTTAAAAGCAAGCCAAATGAAGCCAGGTACAAAATAATAGCTCAGGAAAGGTGACCTATGCTCAGATTTGAGAAAAGAATGTATTTGGGAATATGTTGAATCTGGAAAATTATGATGTTCACCCGAAACAAGCTCCCAAGGTCCTTCACATCCAACCCATCTTCTGATTTTTCCTCAAGTCTTCTTTTTCAATAATCAGATTTAGAGGAAGGAGAACCTTTTATTTGTTGCTACCTTTTTATTTTATTTGTTAAACAGCTGAGAGTAAAATATCAGTCCCTCAGACTGAGCATATTATCAACATAGATTGGAAAATAGTAAAGAAAAATTACTATTTTTAAAATTAAACATTATAGGTATAATAAAGAAAAACTTTCATTTTAGGGGTTGCTTGTGACTATGTTTCAAAACACAGACTCGTAGAATATTTGGAAGGGGAACTAAAAACAAAATACTTGTATTTTCAGTTAAGATTTCATCTGCTCAAGATGATCAGGGATATAAATGCCTCTCTAAGGAAACTAGATTGTTACCTTGCTTTCTTGTATTATTGCATACATACATACATACACACAAGCACACATGGAGATATATCAGAAATTCCTAAGTTATAAAAATTTCTGTATTTCTATTGTTTCTCTGTGTAGAAACATGGGGGAAAAAATCACTCACAGAATGCTCTTCTGTTTTATTATAGAGCAATGTCAACGTATTACATTTTATTTGAAAACAAGAAATATGTATATAAACAGAAGGAAGCTATCAGAAGTATGTACCAAAATACTCATAGACATTCACACAGACATTTTATATATACAAATTACAATATTATCTTCTATATGAAAATGGGTGTAATTGTTTTCCAAATGTAACTTTGCATTTGGCCTTGTAATTATGCACCCAGTGGAATCTATTTGAAATTGCTGAAGATTCAGAGCCACATGGTGACTTTGCCAACTTAGGTATAGCAGACATCATAAATTGGCTGATAATATTCTGCAGCCAGTATATTGTGAGTTGTGTTGCTCTAAGCAATTCATTTTACTGGGAAATAAAATGCTACCTATAAGGGCCACACTGTAGACATTATGATAATAATAAAGAAGTCATTTTGGATTATAATTACTTATATGGATTCACATTTCACATTTTTACTATATTTATGATTTTAATTTCTCCAAGAAGATACTTGAAGCATCATGTATGAATTCAATGAATAAAACTGATCACAAATCATTTAGAACCTCTCAATTGCCACATTACCAGTGTCAAAGACCTACTTAAGTTATAATTGCTGCAGAGGAATTCTGAACATTGAGATATGCCAAAAGTTACCTAAAACTGAGCACTATAGAGAAAAGAGAATAATAGTTGGACTAATCTTAGCTCAGCATGTAATTAAAAAGCATATTGGCTGCAATTCTTAATATTCGCTTGTCCTTCCCATTAAAGTTAACACAATGGAGCAATTTGACCAGTTTCTCAGTGTACTCTGATAGAGAGCTCCAATCTTTTTAATGAAATAAACTAAAAACAGGAAGAGCGCATCATTGTTACAGTGCATTAGGACCAATACTCAGTAACTGGATACTCACTTGGAGCAGTAGTAGAATTTCATTGTTCTAAAACTTTTCTGAAATCTATAGATCATACCCTCCCATTCCATCCTGTCCTTTACTTCGAGACCTTCCCAACACAGAGTTTCCAGCACTGGACACAGTGGCTCTGAATATCAGAGGAAAGAATAAAGTTAATAAAAGCTTCTTGCCTCTAAAACTGGAACCACTAGGAGAAAGAACCAGGTATCCTACTGTCCATCAGGCACTCCAAGGGACAAAGAATTATACTGTTATTTACTTGTTAAAAAAGTAAAGATTCCCTTGAATTGGCTACGTCTAACGGCCCATATGAGAGCCAGTTTGGTGTAGTGGTTAAGGCATCAAGCTAGAAGCCAGGAGACTGTGAGTTGTAGTCCTGCCTAAGCATGAAGCCAGCTGGATGACCTTGGCCACTCCCTCTGTCTCAGCCCTAGGAAGGAGGCAGTGGCAAACCACTTCTGAAAAACCTTGCCAAGAAAACTGCAGGGGTCTGTCCAGGCAAACTCAGAAAATCAGACAAAAATTTACAAATTAAAAAACAAAAAAGGCCCATACAGCCTTCTTTGACAGCAGTAGAGAAATGGTTTGTTATTAACTTCTTCCAGAGTGTTTTCTTAACTACCCCATCTAGCCTACAGTCGTGGTATTTCCTATCGATCTCCATCCAACTAACCAGAATGGACCTGCTTAAGATTTCAAGAGCAGCCAAGAGCAGCCAAGCTGGGTGCTGTCATTTGCTGAGCTACCCATTCATAACAGGTAACAAAATTTGAATTCACTGGGATTTGTCTCGGCTCAGTCCAAATATTAATTATTTCTATGAAGAGCTTTGAAAAATTATTCAGAAGTGTTCTGGACCCTGTGTGAACACAGAGCACCTCTTTGCTATTCATTCAAACAGTCCAGCTTTCTCTAGGCACCCACAAATTATATATAATAAGTCTGTTGTGAGAGATGTTCATAAATTTATAAATGAATTTTCATCCAAACTTTTAAAAAACAAAATTATCAATCTGATGTGAAATAGGATGAAAAAAAATTAAGACTAGGAAAGCTAGAAACAGAATAAAGTCAAAACCAACATATTTGTTCATCCCTATAGTCTTCACCCTGACTAATTTAACTAAAATAGAACATCCTGTTCAATGCACTCCTATGAGAAATTCAGTTAGACTCCTGAGAGTTTTTTTATACTCATTTACCCAGGCAGCAATTATTTGTGACGTTCTGTTAGAGAATGATTTCTAAAAGTGCACGTAAGTGCTATGTGATTTATTGTAGAAGTCCTTCTGTAAAATTCTTTTTCTCCAAAATGAACTACAAAGAATGTTTGGCTGATATTCAGGCCATATGAAGTTCTCAGACTAATTTCAGCAGACCTTTGAAAGAGACTAAGTCAGAACTCTGGACAATGGATCTCTCCATTCCTTGGCAGCATATTGTGGTATCAAAAGAAAGAGAAATGAGGGGGGCGGGGGGAATGTCCAAGCAAAAGAGGAAAAAGGGGTGCCAAAAAGAGAGACAATGGTTCACTTCTTGGTTCTGCCCACCATAAATAGAGGTTTATGTTTTAGGATTATCAGAATGCCAGAATTATCAGTCTAAGGTATATCACTAACAATTGCAAATGTAGCATTTTTATGAAATAGAACTTAAAACTTAAAAGTGTTTTTACACACATTGCCATTTTCCACAATTTTTTGGTAACAAGATCATATGTAATTTGTTTTCATGTTGATACACTCCCATTTAAATTTGCAAATGTAAAAAATTAGTCCCAGCCTCAAGTACTGTGTCCAGTTCTGAGCACCACATTTTAGGATAAAAAAAATCAGAGAAACTGAAAAAGATGCAGAGGAGGATAACAAGTAAACTTAGGTCTTTTGAGAAGAAATGGGAGGGAGTGGGTATGTCTGGCCTTGAAAAGTCTGAGGGGAGATTTAAAAGCATTTTTTAAATACCTGAAGGGGCATCACACAATTGAATGCTGGATATGGCAAATGGCCTTAAGTTGTAGGAAGACAGACTCCAGGTGAATGTTACAAAAAGTAAGCACAGTTCAACAGTGGAATCATTTGCCAAGGAGAAATATGAATAGCTCTTGAAAGGTATATTCACAGAGAACATGTATTTTGGTGATACTGTAACTGCATATGATTCATTTAAAATGTGTCTGCTAATGCACTGCTGTACCTTTTGCACATAATTTTATGTCCTAAATGTTAAGTCCTAATATTATAACTGTACCCATAAACCAGTGATTGGCAAAACACCACAAAAGATAATTGTCCAAGTTATGTCTCATTTCTTACATTACAACACATAAAATGCTGCTTAGATCTAATCTAACATATATATTATAGTGATAAAAATGTTTTCTGTTGAACATGCTTCTAAACATGAAATAGACTAACTAAACTATTTCCTGACAAAAGAATGGTGTCATTATAGAGTAGCTGCAGGTCCCACTTTTTTGCAATTCTTGGAAATGGAAATTCCATATGATTATAAAATTAAAATGATACAACAGAATATGCAACATAACATACAGCTAGAAGTTCTGGCTGAAATCTGTGAACACTCTGTAGGGTATTGGGTTGATTCTTCTTGCTTTGGCCAAGAGGCGAAAATCTTTATAAGAAAAAGAACCTTCCATGGCACCATTTGGAATCCATTTAGGAATTCATTTATGCACATCTGTTCTTTTTGGTCATCTTTGGAATTAAGTGCTAGAGCACAGAGCTTCCAAATAAATAAGTCTGTTGAATCCTAGATATCATTTATGTTGTCTTTTCCTTAAATTCTGAAGCACAGTTTTTGCCAAATCTCAGTTTAAGCTGTCCTTGTGGATGCTCCGTTCTGTGTTGTGGTTGTTCAGTTCATTAGTTTTCCACTGAATGCTTGTTCCATTCATAGGAACAGATGATATCTGACCTCCTGTCCGATGACAAATACAGCAGAGGCATGACTGGCAAGAGAAAAGTTTTCAAACATTACCGGTTTCAATAGAAGAGAATATATGTAGTTCAGGGTTGAACTGTGGAGTCCTTGGGGTTCTCTGAGCTTGGTTGTTCTCTTGCAGACATTTCATTACCCGTCTAGATGTTACCTATATGGGTAATGAAACGTCTGCAAGAAAACAACCAAGCTCAGAGAACCCCAAGGACTCCACATTACTGGTTTGTTGGTTGGTTAATTTAATTTCTTGAAGGGTCACTTTCCATCTTCAGTGGAGAACAGAAGTCTCCAGAGTGAAGAAAATAGAATTAGGCCTGAGTGAAATTACACTTCAAAAATGTAGAAAGGTGTAGTATCTGAATAGAATATGGGGTTAATTTACTCTTAAGTGTACTCAATTCTTTGCTAAACTGTGACTAATATGTAGTTAAATGTATACAGATAATGTACTTCTTTTGTTTTACTGTACATACTTCCAGCTTAACTAGACTAGAAAACCATGAAACTTGGAAAAGAGATTTGAAATTGATGGAAAAATATGGCTCCTTTTAACAGGGGCTGTTAGAAACAAATATATGATTGGTATTTCAGCTAGTCCTCTCTTCTCTTAAAAGCAAGCAAGTCAAGTGGACTAAATTATGAAAGAAGTAGCAAGAGCCGACTGAATTATACTGAGTTTAGTACAACATAACAATTCTTGAGCTTCTCTCCCTCTGGCACTTTCTGACTAGCCTTGATACCCCTCCCCCTTTGGGCAACCTTCCACTGATGATTGTCATCTCCATCTGAACTATAGTCTGAAATGGAGACATTCAAGTTTTTAGTTCTGAGGTTATGTATAATTATTGAAGAACCAACCAAGAACCAGCCTATTTATTTTCTGTAATTAGCTGCATCAGCATTAGTGATGACTGAAACAGCCCATGGTGCTAGTAAAAATGGTACAACCCCAACTGTTTCTGGAATAAACCTTAATATAACTCTTCATCTGTCTAAAACTAGACAGGCTTATGGCTAAACTGTGTTAAATGCTTATCAGAATAATCTAAGGTGTAATTACATCAGACCATAATAATAGCCCTGCCCAATACTTTCCAGATGTATCAGACAAAGCCTCAGAATTGCCAGCTACCATGACAAAATACTGGAAATTCTCAAAGTGCAACATAATGAAGGGAAGAAAGTTGGGGAAGGCTGCCATAAAGCATTCAGGCAAATGTTTATTTAGGCAGAAAGCTGGTTCTATAATTCAAACATCAATACTTCAAAACATGTGATCAGCTTGGAAAAGGACTGAATAATATTCTTTTATACTCATCTTTCACATTTTATTCCTCAATATTACTTTTGATAGGTTTAATTTCATGCATCTTTATAGTTCTTACCTGGAAACAGTTTTTGAACTTCTTGCTCACAAAATAGAGTGCTATGGGATTTATGCAAGAATTTATGGTTGCTAGATTAAGGCTGATATAATCCAAAGTCAACAAAAAGCTAGGATCAAAAACAGAATGGAAAATGTTACAACCATGTAATGGTGGAAAAGTATTCCTCAGACATTATAACTCTGTGCAATTCTGATGCCATAGCTGTATCTTCTTCAAGTGCCTCAGGTAAAAATGAGTAACAGAATTGGAAGTGCTTAGCTGTCAGCTATGGAGAATTAGGACTATAGAGCCCATGGTTCAAAAGATAGAGCATTTAAAAATGAACAGAAGCATAAGACAAAACCCTGGGTTATTAAACTTAGTACTCTGGAGCTGTTTGAAAGATAATGTGACCGTGACAGGAAAAATGATGGTGTATAATTAAGATAATCAAGAAGAAATAGACCCTAAAGATTACTATCCTTCTTTCCAGTTACTTTGGAGTAAGCCCAATTGAGGTTGATTATAAGATTGCATGGATAATTACTGGAATGCTGGAAGGCAACTGACTTCTCACTTGCTTCAAAAAACAGGTAACACAATATTATAAGGCCAAGGTGCACAACCTGTAGCTTTGGCCCCTGAATCCTTGGGAACACCACCCTTTAGCCATCCCCAAGGTAGCTGCTGAATTTTAATGTGCAAGAAGGGGGAAGCTATTAAATACATGAGGCATAATTGCATTAACTGTACAATTAATTTGTAAAATGTAATTTAAATTTAAATCAAGTTTAATTTTTGTCCCAGCCTTGCCCACCTTTTGGAAAGTGGCCCCAGAACATTGCTTAAAAATCAAATGCAATTGCAGCCTCACAAGAAGTCTCGCACCCCTATTTAAGGAGAAAGTGGAGATAAACAAAAACAGTAGAAGGACTGAATAGTCATATTTATTCTTATATTAATTAATTTATAAGTTATTGAAATTATACAGTTAGTGTTCAGTATATCATTGATATACACAGTAAGCTATTTTTAACAATAAGGAAAAGAATTTTAAAGATTTTTCAGGAGGGGGAATCTCTGGGCTAAGTGCCAAAATCTCCATTATTTGCTTTTTTAAAGATACAAAGAAAAGAAAAAAAAGAAAAGAAATCTTGATATACAAAGGTAATTACATCTCTGGCTCTGATGGGGTTGTACTTCCCTTGAAGAAGCCAGTGAGCCAGCTGGGGTTTGTCCTAATACATGGCTCCTGATAAGAGCAGCAACTGGACACTGGGCAGAAGAGACCTCGGCCAAATTTGGATGTCCACAGTTGTGACCCTTCTGGAACAGGAACACTGGCTACAGTGAGTCACACCCCTGATATTTCCTGGTTAGACTACTTCAATTAACTTTACATGGAGCTGCCCTTAAAGATGACCCAAAAGTTATAGAATGTAGTTGCCTGCCTGTGGCCTGGTGGAAGCCAGTTCAATAGAACAACACCTGTGCTGCAGAAGCTGCTTTGATTGCCAGTAAGCTTCTGGGCGCAATTCAAGATGCTGGTTATCATCTATAAAGCCGTTTTTGGCTCAACTGTTACCTCTGGGACCATCTATTCCAGGTGGAATCTGCTCATGTTATATGTGTTAGCTAAGAAGTAGTTTGGATTCCCATTCCTTTAGGAACAGTTTGCTCCCACAGGTGAAGATAGCTCCCAGCTAGCATTTAGGAAAGCAATAAAAAGGGGGCTTTTCTGCAGATCCTTTGGAGAAGAGAACCTTAAATAAGGCAACCAGCAGTATCAGGGAGCAACTACTAATTGCTAAGCAGCATTGATTATGCTTTTATGTGATTAAATGGTCATGTTTTTATAATCACAAGCAGCCCAGAATTCATTAGTAGGCAGTATATAAATATTTGTGTAAAATATAAATAATGAAATGTTCTTTATTGATGCTAATTCACCTTTTGTGTTCCTGCATTCATCTCTCATCAATTTAAATAGTATCTCAAATTAAAATAGTACCTGAGTAATTCACATCTATTGGGGTCATGTTCGTAATACAGCATTGACCTCAGTATCCGGCTCAGATGCAGAGGAAACCAGCAAAGAGCAAAAATCACAACTAAGCAGAAAACGGTTTTAGCAACTTCTCGGCGCTATGGGGGGAAAAAAGACAATGATCTGCAAACATAGGCCAAGGCAAACATGAAGCAGCTGAGGAGGAAAATATGGAAGTTACCCAAATTAGCAATAGGCAAGAAAAAAAGGTGCATTTGTTTCTAATAACTTGTCAAAATTCATACATTCACACGTGTGACAGAAAAATTACAATTAAAAAAGTATCCAAGAAAATTATTGCCTATACTTCAAAAATTATGAAGATGACTTTGGACCTTACACAAGTTTAGGATCTCTGCTGCATTCTATTTATTAAAGTTACTATCACTCTTAAAAGCACTGACATCTTTTGAGGGCCACACAGAAGCAGAGCTGGTATTTAAATTAGACAACAACCAGTTTCAACATAATTCAACATGTCAGCACTTCAAAATAACAAATAGCCAAATAGTTAGTGATCAGACCATATCCACATGCTTTTAAAAGCATGTGTTATTTCAACAAAGCTTAAAAAATATGGCAAGCCACATCAGCACCAAAAGTCATAGGTTATCAAACTTTGTGGTGCTGTAATCCCCTAAAATTTCAAAGAGAATTCATCTTTTTCTTCAACTTGATATCAAAAATTCATGAATTTGGTCTAAATAATACAATTAAACTGGAGTTAAATTGAGACCCTTGAGAAACCCAGTGGTTTTACAATGATAGAACAATAGGGGAAAAAATCAATATAAAGAATTCTCTTTGAGCTAGATAACATTGATAATAAAATATTAGAAAAATTGGTCCTGGATGGCTCCCCCTCTTTTGGCATTCTGAAGAGCCATAAAGACCTGGCTGTTCTCCCAGGCTTTGGACACACTTGCTGTGGTAGCATGTTTTGGGGCTCGCCAGGCTCGCCATTTTTGCTCTTCTTTTTCTTTGCCTTAGTCTTCTTGTTGTGTTGTTGCTTGCATCTGCTTCACTGTTTTTATACTGTTCTGGTGTATTGTAAACTGTCCAGAGTCCTTTGGAGTTGGGCAGCATCAAATAAATAAATAAATGATTGGCAGCTGAGATCCAACACATATAGTGGGGATTAGGTCAAAGAAGGTTCTTACATAATGAGAGTGAACAAAAAGGTCATACTTACTTTGATAAGGAAATAATTTGAACTCTATAACAAATTCTTAACTCTTTGTAAGCCTCCCAGAGTCCCTTATACAATGAGATGGGTGGCATATAAATTAAATAAACAAACAAACAAACAGGTTACCTGCACTATTTGCTTGCACTCTAAATTGCCCTAATGTTCTATGATTACCCAAATACACTTGAATCAATACCTTTAAGTCAAAACTCAGCTTTAGCTATACTATCTGTCCTCAGAATGCATTTTATTGAGATCAAAGGTTTAGCAGGATAACGCTTTAATCACAGTGAGTGGAAATGCATGTTAAAAGTGCTTTCTCCTTACCTGCTTAAGATGTTCACTAAGAGCAATTCTCAAACTACTCTTCCTCCTGTTTAACATTTCACAGGTCATCAGGGTATAAAAGAATGCCGTGCAAGCAAGTGGCATGCAGAAATAGAAACCAAAGAGCCACCAGTCTTTTGCTTTTGCATAAAACTGCAAAGACATCAAATGTGACAAGTTGTTGCTCAGTAACTTGCAATGTCATTCTGTGATTTCCGTAGAATGTGCAGGCTAGATTCTACACCAGCCTTCTCATCTGGAAGCCTCCAAATCTGTGGACTTCAATTCTCAGGATTCACAGCAATAGCTATCCTGTTTGGAGAATTTTGGGGTTGGTTCTCACCTCACAGCTTGGAGGATGCCATGCTGAGAAAACTGCTTTACGCAAAATAGTAACTGGCATAAATCTGACCACAAAAATGATCACAATCAGAAACTGTTAAGAAAATATTTCCATCTCTGCTGTTGACTTGAAAATGACCATTCCCCAACATACAGGATTAAGACATTCTACTGCCTGAAGTGCTACATCGTACACCTCCTGTTCCTAAATAAATGGGCTTTGGCCAGTTATATCAGTAGAATTATCTCACAAAAGTTGTTAGACATTTATCTCCTGGATAATAGGCAGAATAAACATGCACTAAAATAGACTTTTTTGCATATATATTTTTCTAATACATTTGTCAGAAACAAAATGAAATAATGGGAGGGGGATTTAATCTGAAGTCATAATGGAATTACATTGTATTATTAATGGTTCATAGTAAATCTTTCTAACACATTTTCAGAACATTTTCAGAAAAGAAGGCCTAACCACATCTTTGCATAAAAAAACAGCGCAATCCAGTACAATATTTACTTAGAACTAAAATAAATTGAATTCATTAAACATACTTCCAGATTACTCTTTGTTGAGTAACAGCCTTACAATCCAAAGATTTGCATATCTATTTTTTTGAAGTCCCACTGTATTCAGAAAAGATGAGCTCCAAAATATCTATAAATAGGGTTGTAACCAAGTCTTCCTCCCTCTATTCCCTATTTTTGATAATTGCACAACCCTCAATTTCCCCCTCTCATACACATAATACGCACACCCAGTCTGTCCACACACACAGACAGACAACCAGATCACTGCACAAGCAGAATACATAATGTTGGACACATTTTAGTGTTAAATATATATGTCTCCCTGCTTTTCAGGAATATATTGTTGATTTGCATGAAAGATCCAGTGCAGTGTGGTGTAGTGATTAAAGGTGTTAAATTGGGACCAGAGAGATCCAAATGTAAGTCCCATTTAACCATCAAGTCACTTTCTCTCAGCTCAGCCTATTTACAGGATTGTTGTGAGAATAAAACTAGTGGAAGTTCTCCACGTAGGACACCTTGAACTCCCAGAGAAAAAGTGGGATACAAATGTAACAAATCAATCAGTTCAGAAATAATATAAGTTCAGCCATAATATAATTTCCATTTCTACATTAAATACAAATGATTAATGACCGTAACCCCTTTAATGGGTAATTTTAACCAATTGTTAACTTAGATAACTTTTCTATTGCACGAGTAAGATATAGAAAGATACACTACTAATATTGGTGTTATATTTTAATATGATACTGTTCAATAACAACTCCACTAAAATGTTGGTTTTCTCAACTGTTTTTTACAGGCAGTAATTATTCTTCAAGATGGTAAGACCAAAGACTAGGAGGTCAGTGTCAGTCCTACAACTAGGGCTACATAAGGAAGCTAAATCCACAGGAAGATTACACTTCAATGTGATAGGCTTTAGTAACAAAATCTTGCAAGTCTGCCTAGGTCTTCCCTTCCTCCCTCTTATACTCCAGGGAGTCAGGGAGGGGCTAGCCTGAGTTTCTTTGTATGACCTGCCTGTCTGGGCATAAACACAGGTTTCTTCTGCACCTGTTTTCCTAATGTCCTCTGGACTCCTTCTCCAAGATCATTTTCCTGGCTCCCCTCATTAGGACATTCCTTTTCCAAACAAAATTATCACCCTGTACCAGACATTCATAAATAGTCATAACTGTAATTTCTTGAGCTGAAGACAGTGGCTGGGTTCACATAATGCACTAAGTCCTAACATGGTTGCTTTTGGCTTATTGTGTACTCACTCATTATGTGTCATGTACAAACTAGGCTTGACAATGGTTAAGCAGTCCTGCTTAATATTTTATGTGGAAGCAATCTGTGAAAAATAGCATTAAGTGCCTTTCTTACAGTTAGGTTAGTCTCTGAACTATTATATAACTTGTAAGCAAACAACTGTGATCTGTGCTACAGCCTTCTTAACCCAGAGCCAAGGAGCCTATGGCCCTCCAGATGTTGCTGAATTAAAACTCTCAGGAGTTTCAACACAGTAGGGCCCACGGGTGGGGAAATGCAGTAATATCCCAGCTACAAATTCCTCAACATATCCCTATCTCACCATAAATATATTCCCCGTATAAACAAAAGAAGAAATAAAGTAAAACTGAGGGACGGAGCGTGGAGCAGGTTGAACTGAGAGAAGATGAATAAGGAAGGCGCTTAAGCAACCAATTAAATCTCTTTGGAGATGAAGAGATAAGAGAATTTTCTTGCAGAGAATAAGCGTGCTTAGATTCGGATCTGTCTTGACTTGTGATTAAGGCATTTCTTTGTGTTGTGTTTATTTGTGGGCATCATAGTATTATCAAAACTGACATTTAAATCCCAGTGATTAAATGCTTCCTAATCTGTGTATTAAAATCACAGAGCACCAGGAGTCATGCTGATTGTCTGTCCAGCAGAAAGCCTGGTCTGCTACCTTTTAAGGCTTTTAAGAATGGCTTTGATTCCAAAAGGTCCCGGTTAAGAATGTCTTCTATGTATAATTGTGCCCTACTATCAGTAAAAAGATTAACTGTCTTGCTTATGTACCCAGCAGAAAGAGGCCACTTAAACATGTCTTAGTCTGGAAAATGTGGAGTACAGCCTGCTCTTTACAGTTATTCTGATTCTCTGGTTGTTTTAACCCCCTGCCTGGAATGTAACCCTTTGCATGGTATGCTGATCGTGTGGCAGGAGGAAGGGGTATTATCAGTGGTTTGAGCGAATATCTTCAACAAAACCAGTCGTACATACAATATATGCATTTTCTGCTCATTTCTATATATGAATAGTAGGCACACATACAAACATACACTTACATATCAAGTGAAATAGTTCTTATTTCCCAATTATTTGTTATTGAGGGGGATCGGTATAAAGGGGATTCTTTGTTATCATCCTCTTCCCATTTAGTTGTTTATTCTCAAGCTATTTTACTTGTTCCCATACTAGAATATCATAATGTGAATAGCTAAGGATTATGTTGGCTCTTTGGAGTCGGAAATCTGCTATTTTGTTTATTTGTAACTAAACAGAAGAGCTAGCTTTGGAATTTGCAGATTAAACTTTTACTGTAAATTAATGTAATCTTAATAAAATAATGATTTCCTTTTTCCCCCCCAATTATAGGCACTGTTTACATGTGGAAGTCAGCACACAAAAAATAGGAATTTGTCCCTTTCTTTCCTTACCAGATCCTGCTAGATATATGAGGGCTACAGTTTCTAAAATTTCCAACCAATATGGTCTTTCTCACAAATGATGCTATTGAAATCAGTAAGAATGTCTGTGAGACAGTTTTGGTTAGTTAAATGTAGCAACAATAGAACTAAAGGCAAATTTTTAAAGAGATGTTTCATATTAAAAGCAGGGCAAATTTAGCATAATGTGATCAAAATGGATTCTTCTAAGAAGGCTCTCTGATCTAGATTCCAGAAACTGGTAGCAACATCTACATGTAAATTGCACCAATGTAACTCTAGCAGAACGGACTGCTCCTGAAGTTCCTTCAACTGGGCACTGAACCCAGTACATATGCAGAGAAGATACTCTTATCAGCAGATGATAACAGAGCATCTTAAGTGCAGATGACAGCAGAAAATTAATGCTTTTTCTGGAATTTTGGATACTCTTATGCAAGCACACATTTAGTATGCCTTCATAACTGGAAAGGGCATGGTATGTAATCCAAAACTGTATCAGACTGCTTCATCTTTGATTCTTTCCATCTGAGTTCTCTCTCCCTGTATCTGCCAGGTTGTTGACTTGATCTCCAGACCAACCTGTATAGCAAGTGACCAGTGGTAATGGCAGAAATGGCTGCTCTTTCTCTGCAGCTTCACTGCACAAATGTTCCCGTGCCTGCCGGCTGTTATTTGGACTGCTTTTGCATACAAGATTAACACTACTCTGGAATACACTATATCTCTATCTTTAAAGAGCCCAACCATCAGCTGAACGCAGCCATGCAAAGCATTTGCACAAAATAAGAGCAAATTTTTACAATGATTACGATGACGGGTCCTTTTCAACTTTTAGATGAAGATGCCTTACAATAAGACAAATGGATCTCTCCTGTCTACTACTGTCTATTTGGAAGGCAGTAATTAAAAATTCAGTCTTTTCCAGCCCTAAATTTGATGCTGTTTATAATATAAATTCCAATAGAACAGAACCCAAGACTTTTAAGCAGAATTAAATGACTCTATCAGTAAAGACTTACAGGATCAAAAATCTGAAGACATTTGCAAACAAAAGGATATATAATAGTTTCTTCCCAAAATGATACATCTTGTTTGGACTAAACTCCCCTCCACTAGCATTATGTCACTGTATTAAATAAAAATGAATGCTATAAATATGAACAGTCCATCTTATTTAGCATTTAAAATGTGGTATTTTTAAGTTAAGAACTAAATCAAGATATCTGCAAATGATGAATTACTGCTGTTAAAGCTTACACAGATCTTGCAACAACCCAATTTTGTACTTTGATATAAGTGACACAGGCATCCTTTTGTCTGCAGCACACAAGTCCACATGGAAATAGTTTTCTCCAGGAAATGTGCTTTTTCCATGTTCCCTAAGGCACTTGGCCTTTTGGGATTTACATTCTAAAACAAACATTTGAAAGATGAACTTAAAAATAATGAGGTGTTTTCTAAGAAAACATACAGGAATCAACCATGAAGAACCATGAAGTTTTATTGATATTAACTGACATGATTTATTGAAAGATTTGCTAAAATACATATCAAATTTAAGTCTGGCATCATTCTCTTAGCCTTCATTCATTTATTTAAAAACTTCCTGGACTTGATTCTGTTTCATTTAGACACATCTGTATATGTGTATTTGGCTGTCACCAAAATACACAAGAAAAGGTAATTTCTTGGAACCACTTAATACTGTACAAGTTTGAATATGTTTGGAAAGGCAAGAGAACTAGCTATTTTTCTTAGGGCAAAATGGGAAGGAGAAATCATTAAGGATTTAACAAATTACATGCTATAAGCAGCCAGTTATCTTTTCTGCAATGCTTTGTTTTGTTAAACTTCCAACAGCTGTAAGAGGAATGCCAGAGGAAGAAACTATTTAACTATTTCGAGCTGATTTTTCTACTTAGTCCCTCTTACTGTTTCTTTTCCCTATGGAAGAGAAGTGATTATGATCCATGCAGAAATTGTCTTGGGGGAAGGGAATGGTCAGAAAGCTAAAGTTTAAAAAGCTTCCACTGAAGCATGCTACTCTTTCATGTAAGCTATCAGGGATTCAGGAAAAAAAACCCAGAAAAAGTATCTAAGGCAATGTGTAATGTTTTCATATGGGGCTACTGAAATGCAGCTTGAAGACAGAAGAGATGGAAACCTTCTCCTTTGCTGAATTAATGAACTATCCACCCATCCTTGAGTTGGCATAAAACTATGCCAGTTTGAAAGCTGTCATCCCTGCCAGATACTGTCCTGCCTTTACAGAATCTGTTTTGAGGAGCTATATGGATTATACATATTCAGCATGTGATCAGCAAAGAGAATGGTTAAGTTTTTTGGCTGTCCTCTCTCTTTAGCACATCCCCAGCTTGCAGAAAAAAAACACCTGCAACCACAACACTGTAACAGGACCTGGACAGGCGCAACTGCAGGACTCTGCCTGACTCCTCTAGGCTTCTTCCTATTCTTTCCTCCTATACCCCTTTGTCAGGGAAAAAAACCTCATCAAACACGGGAAACAGACACACCCTAACATAAGATTCCCTTCACACCTTTCTGTCATGGCCGAAGCTGGATAAAGATGATAGATAGATAGATAGATAGATAGATAGATAGATAGATAGATAGATAGATAGATAGATAGATATAGATACTATAACATTATGAAAGTAGATGAGTCACCAACAGCATTTTGTTCTATATAGGAACAAATGCTACCTTTCAGGTTCCTACATGTTCTTTTCATAAGGCAAAAGCGTGGGTGGGGGAGTTGGTTCCACCATTTTAGTGTTCCGATATTTCAGCCTTTTGCTGAAGTAATAAAGGCCAAAGAGTTAAAGAACTAAGTCAAACCTGCAAGCTCAGGAATCTACAGTTATTACACAATTCTGATAGATTAGTGGGCTGCTACATCAAACTCTTAAGGGAGTCAACAGTGAAACCAGGAATCAGTGTGTGAAGACTGTGAGTCCACATCAGACTGAGACAGCCAATGAACACTACAATGATCCCACACATTTATAGTCACTTGACTTTACCCCTCTGCAATTGCTCTTGGATATTGCCAGCTTAAGGAGAAAAACATTCACACTGGTACAGTTACGGATGATTTAACTCTGTCTGGGTATGGACTGGAGACAAGATGAAGGCAATATTAGAAAAAGATGCTGCCAGACCATATTCCTATTATGGTTAGGTGCAAATGGGGAAAGGCCAATGTTCTGATTAAAACTTAGTTTGGAAATGGTCAAGTTTCTGGAATGTTAAACTGCTAGTGAAACAAAGTTGGGGTTAAGATCCTACTTGCACTTGCCCAGATTTTTGCAGTCCTATTCAAGCATGTTGCTATTCACAGTTAACAACCAGATGCCTTTGGAATACTCACAAGCAGAAGATAGGATATATTCCTTCTCATATGGTTATTCTTCTGCAAGTAGTATTTGGAGGCTGGGTGACTTTGAGCCAGTTGTTCTTCTGCAAGTAGTATAGCCAGCTGGGTGACTTTGGGCCAGTCACTCTCTCTCAGCCCTAGGAACAAGGCAAGGGCAAACAACTTCCAAAAATCTTCCCCCGAAAACTGCAGGGACTAGTCCACCCAGTTGTCAGGAGTCACCACTGACCCAAAGGTGCATGTGCACACACACACACACACACACATCCATCTGCAACTGATATTTGGGGCACGCCACCTGTGAATCCATAGGTAACACTGAACCTTCAAGACTAATAGCCTTTGATAAATTTGTCATTTATCATGCCCCACAAGACACCCCCACCCTTCCCCCCACCCTTCCACTTTTTCCTAATCCTACCTCTCTAAATTGTCCCATTGTTACTGGTTAAAAGACAAATAATAATCACAACAAAATTATTTTACACTGTTGATAGAGTACATACTTTCAAGAAGCTGTTCTTTGCTAATAGCATACAGGATATGAGACGTTTTTCACCATAAAAAAATTCAACAGTGGTGAAACCAATTGCTTCTGGAATAGCCAGGATGAAAGAAAGAATCCAAATACTAAAAATTTCAATAGCTGTAGTCAAGGGGACACCAATTCCCTGAACTCGACTCCAGGAAGCAACTGCTCGGTACCTAGAATAAATACAGAAATTTACATTGGCAGCTTCAGTACTTTATAAAAGTTGGAGTTTTCAAGACAAGTGTAATACAACAGGCACGTTTCAAGATTCTTCAAAATACCCAGGGGCTATTGAAATACTCAGAGAAGCACTGAGAATATAGCCAGTTAATATTGATCCAAGATGATGCTGAATTGGATGGACAAACAATCTACAAGTTATCTCACAGAAGTTCTTACAATTTTGATTGACCAGGCTGTGGCCTTTGTTTCAACCCATGTCATATCTTAATTTTTAAAAATGAATGGATGAAATCTTTGCCTTGGCTTTCTAGCTATAGGCACACTGAGAAAGAAATACATATTTGCTAAATACACCTCTCAATTTTATAATTACATTGGAACGATTTTGTGTTTATTTTGTGCTGATACTACTACAAATAATAATAACACACCTCTAAAGTAGCTTCTGATAACCATTTGTTGCCACAAGATGCTTTCAAAATATATACAAGCTCAAAGACTGGCATTTCAGTTATAGTTATTCTTCCTTTGCCCTGCTCCTGGAAGCTTAAGAACAAGAGAGGGCAATTTTCCTGTAGCCATGGCTGCACCTCTCTGCTTGGCCTCTGGCCATAAATGGTTTGAATGGTGATGTCATGATATCACTGACATGGATGTCACTAAAACTGTAGACACTTTGAAGTTTTTGAAGTGTGCTAAGAGTCAAAATGGTTGCTTTAGCCATGCAAAGTCTAGGGTATCCACTCTAACCATTAATTCCTCCAATGGGAAAAATCAGCCATTTTGCTAATGGTTGAAGAATCAGGGATTTTTAAAGGGGTGGAATACATTTAAATTAAGGTGGACCTTCAATTTTATCCAAAAACCAGATATTTGGGGCCCTGGGGACTTTGGGTCTGCCCTAAATATGATATGATCAAAAATGTGACTGATAATTTCATTCCCATTCCTTTGTTATAGTTTACTTAGAGAAATAATTTGGTCTCTTATGGCTAATCAATGAAGTATTATTATTACTGAGAAAAATAATCATATAGTGTAATAACACAGCACAGGATGAGAAGCCAAATTTGAAAATTAAGCTATAAGCTACTTACCTCGAATAACATTTAAAAAATGCTCCAGGTCACATAACATTCCAGTTACGGACTGTCTTGATCATTTTTCATATAAGAAAAATATTCACAGAAGGGAATAATATATTCCTTACCTGTCTACACTTAGAGCACATAGATTAAGAACAGTGATTCCCACAGATGCCTTCTGAATAAAAGGAACACAACGGCAAAGGAATTGCTCAAAAGGTGTCATCCCAAAGGGCCATGGAACATGAAGCTAATGGACAGAAAAAAGAAATAGGAAACGTTAAAATGTACACACAGAAAACATGAACATGCAATGGAACCAGGAAGGTTCAAAATATATGCAGTATCATTTGCGCCTTACTGTTATGATCTTCTAAAACTTTGCATGAAGTACCCCCATTTTAGCATGGATTGTAATGTGTTTCACGCTGCGGATTTAAGTGGGATTCAGGCATTTATAACCATCCTGAACTACAATTCAGAATAGTACATTTCTAGAAAATGAAGTTTGGCCAGTGTGATTAGAACGACTGACTAAATAAAATATTTTCACATACTCAGCTTAATTCATTAAGCATTTTAGGAAGGGGATGTTTACTTTCTAGAAATACAAAATAAACGTACTATGGATTTTAAGCAGGGTAGCCTTATTTAGCCATAAAGACTCTGACAGGGCTTAGATGACAATTCTGCCCAAAGCACTACAACTCTACTCCAAAATTTCATACAGACCCACATATATTTGAAAAATCTGTGCACAGATTTGGGAAGTGGCGCATTAAAAAACAAACCAACCAACAAACCCTAACAACATATATTAAAGACAGCTGCATGCAAGATGTGTACACAATGCATCTGTTAGGGTAAACAGCATTTTAAAAAATGCAATGTTCTTATATGTGCTTTTTTCTAAATATTATTTACAAGGAAATTGATGGAACAATAGGAGTATGTATGCATGAAATATTACATAGACCAAAGTCTGTTTTTGGAAACAAGCATAATTCAGTCACATATGAATGAATACATTGTCATAAATTCCTTTCCAACTAATTGTGTCTATCCTCAAGAAGTATTAACATTACAAATGTGAATGATACATACTCTACTTTTTTCTGAGTAATTAGGACATCATGATAATTGCTGTGCTTGTTGCAAATGCTTTGAACATTTATAGATGTGTGCAAGTGTTTTGTTCTAATATCTCACATTAAACTGACTTTTATCAAATCTATTTCAAAAGTTTGTATATGAAATCAAATCACAATATATATGTGCGTAACATAACTTTGATAGCAATCTGAAAGGAAGGGGAAGGGAAAAAGCATGCTTTCAATAATTATATAAATGAATATCATATTCAAGAGGGAAAAACTGCAGAACACAGAACATTATTAAAACTTAATATTAACATTTTTTGCAGCATGCCTCATTATCCATGTACGCTGTGAAACTTTCCAGGTTTGTTATGAAGCAGTGCGCAGAGTAATTTTGTTTCTGCTCCTTATCCATAGTGTACCAGCAATGTAATCACCTCTCTGATTTGTGCAATGCTAAAAAAACTGATTCTGAGGGGCAAGTAGGTCTCCCATGCCTCCTTTATTTCTGGTCCTTGGAGTCCCCTCCCGCTGTATTCACCAATTTAAATTTCTTGTCATATTGAGCAGAAAATACACTTAAACTATAGTGGAAGCCTATACTATTTGTAATATGTAAAAGAAAAAAAACCCTCCACCCACAAAACAGAAGGAAAGAAACCTGATTCTCTTCTAAAACTGATATATACATATTGCGGTCAGCCAAAGGGTATCACCCAAAACTTCAGGAAATGGTCTTGGATAAGGTACCTAAGCACTTCCATAAATCATAATGTCAGCCTAAGAGCCAATCAGGGTGCTTAAAAAGCCCAGTGGGATGGAAAAGTGTTATACTGCCGATCAGGAGCAGCTAATATGTTTGTCCATCCAAATGACAAAAGCTGTTGACATGCTATCACTTCCACCAATATGCTGCACTCATGGAAAACAAAAGTGGAACCACGCCTTCTGTTCTTTTGCTTCTTTCAATGCACGTAATGATTTTATCCTATTTACTAATTTGATTCACCACATTTCTATCAAAGAGTGGCATTCTAGTCATTGAAGTCTACCACATAGAGAAATGACTGTGATGTTGTTGACTATGAATGCCAGTCTTTGATGCAAATGTGGTAAATCAAGTTAGTCAGTTGATGTATTGATGTATCCTCATCCATTGCAAGACTCCGCAGTAAGATAGCAGTACCACATCACAAACCGCAGGGAAGTCTAACTGCAGGAAGTTATTGGGAAAACAGGTGGAATGTGATTTACATTTTTTTTAAATTGCCCACTCCCCCCATCCCAAATTGCCCACTTTCCAGCTGATATTTCTCAGCCCAGCCCAAGGAGAATTGGCAGAATCAGAAAACAGACAAGTGCTATGCAATAGGATTTGTTGGTTACAAGCCCTTCAGAGTTTGATAACCTAAGGGCCAACAGAAGGAAGGTTTTAGAGGCTCGCTGGCAATGGATAATGCCAGTGTGCAGCCACTTAGTCCACAGCTGGTGAAGGCAATGTGGAGGGAGAGGGGTGGCACATGGTGCATTCACAATGTCTTCCACCTCAAATGGGTTGTAAAGTGGCAGGGCTCAGAGTCAAGGACACTGCAGAAAGGAAAGTCTAAAACAAGTACATATCTTTCCCAAATATACCTGAACACAAATATACTGTTCCTTCTTCCCAATTTTCTGTTCAGGGGGCTGGTGTCGGGACTTCATATGTGTAATATATTAATTGAGGAGACTTTGGTGAATAGCTTTTCAGGGCAGGGGGGAAACCTACTGTACATGCTTTTTTTTCTTTTTACAATATTTTGTTGATGAAATTTAACAAACATAAATCCAAAAATAAATTCAAAATCTTCTTTAATAATCTTCATTAAATACTATATATCTTTATTACAATTTTGAAACTATGTTGCTCAAGATAAGTCTGCTGAGTAATGTCTTGTATACACAATTCTGACCACAAATTTATAAACTGAAACCAGAAACTTTCAAATATTTCAGCACTTTGCTTCTGGGATTCAGGAAGACTGACCAGACAGCCACAACTTACCAAGCCTTCCCCCCACCTCTAACCTTGGTTTTTCCATACTAACATTGGAACTGTATCAAACAAGACACAAATGTTGAGAACATTCCATTTGGATGAGTTCTCTAAAAGTCACTAAGTGGCTTCAGTTACTTCTTGGTATTACATTTGTTGGTACTCTTGCTGCATAGGATATGTTTTTTATAACTGAATCATACAAACATATAAAAAACTATATAGTATTGATTCAGAAGAGGAAAATTAATGTTTTACTATGTTTTGGGTAGCACATATCAGTATTTTTCAGGCATTCCTAAAGATTTGTATGGAGCCAGTCAATATGTCTGGTTTTATATTGTTGGAAAAGAAGCCTTCCATATAGGATCACAGTCACACAGTATTTTCTGAATGGTCAAACATTGATAGTAATCTTTGTAAAGCCTCTATGAATTCTCTTGTAGGACTAGATCATCAAATCCAGCATTCTTTCCTAATAATTACTAATGATGTGAATAAACAAATGAAAATATTTAAGCTGATAGCTGTGTCTTATTGCTTATTGGCTATAAATGAACCTCAGAAAAAATTCATCTTAGAAAAACAGGAAAAAAAATCTTACGGTAAGATTACACATTGCATTCAACTATTATAGTTTGGTTCTATGAATTCAACTACTGTGATTTAAAACTCAGTATGTGGTTTAATGCAACTAATTAAGGCTTATTCAGTAAACCAAGGTTAAGAAAACAACTTCTTAGCATTAGGCTTGACCTTAGTCAAAATGTTATAAATTAATAGAATAAAAAAATAAATGTAATACATATTATTAAAGGCTAAATGAAGTTGAAATAATAACTTCTATAAACTATATAATCACAGATTAAGCAAATAAAGATAACCTGACCCAGTTGCTTGAAAGTTCCTTTTGGGGAGGGGGGGTTGTATCAAAATAAAACATCCACACTTTCATCTAATTGCCAAACCTTATATAGACGAAACCACGCCATCTCTGTATAAGAGTATGCGATCAGCAAATTGAGAGCAATACACATAAATGAAATTTTAAAAATAGGGCCAGGAAGCAAAAAGAGAAATTACCCACAAAGGCTTGTGAGGAGTGAGCATTTTCAAGTGTCTGCACCAAGTGTCTGAAAATGGGGAAAAAAAAAAATGAAATTGAGGAAAGAGAAGAAATGAGCTCTCTTGGGAAAAAATAAGCTTGGATGGAATTCTAACAGGGGCACCTCAGTCCAGACTGTAGCGTTCTGGCACCATTAATATTGCATTAAAATTAATACATTTTGTTCTATATTTTGCAATAAGTAAAATGTGATCTAATATTTAATTTCTTGGAATCTCAGCTTTCACATATCTCTTTCATATGGGATTGGTACCGGTGGTGACTGATTAGGAAAAAGATCTTAAAGTTTTGATTGACTCTATTCAGTGAAAATACCACCCTGTGTGCAATTACTGTGTAAAAGCCAAATTCCCTTCTTAGGACAGGAATTTCAATAGAAAGCGAATTGAAAACAAACTGCTGATATAATAATGTCTTGTACAAGAGTATGAGGAGACCACACTCAGAGTATTGTGTACAATTCCAATCACTAAATTTTAAAAAGGGTATTATAGAGTTAGAAATGATACAAAAAAGCAACCAAAATGATTAGGGGACAGAGGCTTCTTTTCTAAAAGGAAAGACCACAGCACTTGGGGCTTTTTAGCTTGGAACAAAGAAAGGTAAGGGGATATGTGATAAAGGTATATATATGGGTTTTGGGCCTTTGGTTTTATTTGTGAGTTGCCCAGAGTCACCCATTGGGGGACATGGGCGGCATACAAATTCAATAAATAAATAAATAAATAAATAAATAAATAATCATAGATGGTATGGATTATGTGGATACAGAATAGTTATGTTAGAACAGCCACTGAAACTAAATGCAAAAAAAATTAAGAACTAACAAAAGACAACCCTTTTTTACACAGTACATAGTTAAGCATTGCAAATGGTAGTTTAAAATGGCAGCTTCTATGGATGGTTTTAAAAGGAGACCTGACAGGTTATTGACGACAGCAGAAGGGGGCTATCACCACCCAATTCAGGCCTGAGCTGCTATCATCATCATCGTC